TGTTAGGTCATTGGTAGGTATTGTTAGGTCACTGGTACGGTGTTGTTAGGTCATTGGTAGGGTGTTGTTAGATCATTTGTAGGGTGTTGTTAGGTCATTGGTAGGGTGTTGTTAGGTCATTGGTAGGGTATTGTTAGGTCATTGGTAGGGAATTGTTAGGTCATTGGTAGGGTGTTGTTAGGTCATTGGTAGGGTGCTGTTGGTCATTGGTAGGTATTGTTAGGTCACTGGTATGGTGTTGTTAGAACATTGGTAGGGTATTGTTAGGTCATTGGTAGGGTGTTGTTAGATCATTTGTAGGGTGTTGTTAGATCATTTGTAGGGTGTTGTTAGATCATTGGTAGGGTGCTAAGCCCCATTATTGTTTTTTAGCACTGAAAAGCAAAAAGAAGAGGAACCTAAGGATGAAAACTGTAATACTCGTCAATCCCTCCCTTCTGAAGAACGTAAAGAGCGACGAGCTGATGATAATGATGAGCTTAGTGAAGAAGAAGAAGGTGCTGATAATGAAACACACTTACCAGAGGAAACACCATTGATTGTGTTACCTGAAATACCAGATGAGAGTAAGCAATAGCATCCACAGTCAGTGGTATTAATCCATGTGTTTAAATTTTAGGTTCTGCTAGTGGTTCTTTGGTTCTTTTTGGTTAATCTTTTTAACATACCTCAGTCTTTACCTTGGAACGTAAATGTTTTCCTACACTCAGGGAGTTTCATTCTTTTGAGATTAGTACTCTTTTCATTGCTATGTGCTGATCAAAACAACAGTTGCTACAGGGGAATTGGGCAATACACTGCCGTCAATCAAATAAATTGGTGGGTACCTTTATTATTCTCTGATTGGCAGCAGTATATTGCCCTTTTTCGCAGTTGGCACGGTTGTCTTGATCAGTGTGTAGCAGTGAAAAGAGAAGTGATAAGCATCTTACAGTAGAATTGAATTGTGTTCATATTGATTTCATAATTATATTCCGTTAAACAAAGAAATGATACTCTAGGGAGTGACACATGGTCTGAAATGGGAAAACATTACACACAAGGTAAAGAGGTATATTTACCTTTATAAAACTAAGGATTATGTAAATTATAGCACTAGTTCCTGTGATGTAAGCTGTTTTTAACTTTACCAACCAGAGATCCATTCTCTGATGAAACAAAGCTATTTGGCAAGAACTATTATAGCCCACTTCTGAAATATGCTTTGCCAGTCATGCACAAATGTTTCAATGCAAGGCTTTGTGCATAATGCTTAGTGATGAATTGTGAAAGAAGACAAGAATAATAAGGAATAATTTAATTTCACACGTAGCCTCTTTCTAAAACCTTTGTGTGACGTGACATTAAGCGAAGCAAATCTCGGAAGTGGGCTATTTTGATAATGATTGGGTGCTACAATTTGTTTAATTTGCAAAAACTGACACAGTCATTTCTATTTTTCTGATCATCTGATGGTAGAACTAGGGAATGTGAAGGCAATCTTGAATGCTGGTAATATTCAAAAGCTGAAAGATGGTGAGAAAATCCAAATGGTATATGCTCTACAACGACAAAGATACAAAACAGTTACTAATGAATTTTCGCAGCTAACTCAAGACTTTAATCAGGTATATCATCGAGTAATCAGTACCGCTCGAAAGCTGGATTTTCATTCCTCCCTAAGTACAGTACCACTTTTGTAAGGTTAGGTTTAGTGCTATTGTTTGGATGACCAATCTATTGTTTCTTAATCCAATCACGTAACTTGTTCCGATTGGTATGGGCTGGCTCATATCATCAGGAGATGAGATAATGTACATTAAATATATAATAATAATAATAATGATAATAATCTGTCAATATCATGATGGTAATTATTGAAATATCATGTAACTTTAATTAGGTACATTGTAACTATGGTTACATGGTAGCTGTGGTTACATAATAACTATGGTTACTGGCATGGTAACTATGGTTACATAGTAACCATGGTTAAAGGCATGGTAACTATGAATACATGTTAACTGTGGATACATAGTAACTAGCCAGGATTCTTTATCTCTTTAATCTTTTATCTTTAGAAGCAGCAAAGAAAGAAAGAGGTTGATGACCAACGTCAAATCAAAATCTTAAAGGAGCACAGTGTTATTGGTATGACAGTCAGCGGTGCAGCAATTAGAGCAAGCTGGTTAGGTAATAATAATACTCCAGTTTAACACTGTCAATTCTGTAATGAATAATTATGTGTTCAAGTGACAGTTCTTGACTACTTAAATTTGAAAATGGGTTATTTTCATAACTAAACGTCACATAGTGTTGAGTTGATAACATAGTTTCAACCAATCACAACTGACTGCAATAATTATTAATGCTACCTGCATTCATTCCGGTTTCAAAATGGTTCATTCAAAATGGTTTTTCGCCTCATCATACTTAACGTTTATGACATCCACTGCATCATATGTTTTCTGAGTCATACCAAGATGATGTCTTTCCTAATAATATTATTAGTATATGTAATAGGACTCCATGCTGTCCAATTAAGAAATAATTGGATGAGGAAAATTCCAAGGACTGACAAAATTGGATGAGGCCGTAGCTAGGCCAAGTCCAATTTGGCAGTCAGAGGAATTTTTCGAGTCTAATTATTTCTTGATTGGGGAGCATGAAATCCCATTACCTATTGATTATATAGCTGCCTAATCAATCCCATATCAACAAGACCTGTCCAATTAAGAAAATAATTGGACAGTTACCTATATGGGATTAATGAGAAGCTGTATAATTAGAAACTATAATTAGGAAAATTGATTTAAAATTTATGACGATACATTTTTCTCCAATCAGAGTCTATCAAACCCTCAGTAATAATCGTTGAGGAGGCTGCAGAAATCCTGGAATCCCAGCTTGTTGCAGTGATCCCATCATCTGTTCAACATCTGGTCATGATTGGTGATCATCAGCAGCTACGCCCACAAGTGCACTATGATATACTCTGCCGCAAGTGTGACTTTCATATTTCAATGTTTGAGCGTCTTATCAAAGGTGGTCTTGATTACGCCCAGCTGAACCAGCAAGGAAGAATGAGAGATGACTTAGCACAACTGGTTAGAGAGCTGGGGATTTATGAGGAGTACAAGACCAGAGATGAGGTACATAGATGGCAAATATATAACTTTTAATAGTGAAACTTTCATGATGATTCATAAGGTTTAAGAGAGCATCCAACAATGATGCATATGGCAAATTTTGTAGAATTTTATTCCAAGAAAAATGTCAGTAGAAACAGAATGATTTCCAAATTTAAATATATAAATACAGGTTGTGAAAAGGAATAAAGTCCATGACTGCTTGCCTAAATCAATGTACTTCTATGACCACAAAAGAGAAGAGAAGAAGCAATCTGGATCACATAGTATGTACAATGAACATGAAGCTGATGAGATTGTTAAAATGGCCAAGTACCTGGTATGTGATAACAATGTAGAACCAAGCAACATCACTGTACTATGCTCCTACCGTGGTCAGGTTGGTACTATCTATATGATAGTGTTCTATTTATCCATCGTCCTTTATTCACATTATTATAGGTTTGATTGATTAATATTGGATTAATACGAGAGAACAATTTTCTTAGAATAATATTAATATCTTCTTAATTCATACCAGCTAATAGCTGAATATTACAGTTGAACCTGCACTGAGATATTGTTAAACATCATACAAATGAGGCAAATCATGTCTATTCAATGCTTGTTGTCTCATTTGTGTCTCATTTGCATGCAATCATAATATCTTCTATCTAAACTGGTCATACATGGACTGTATAGCTGCTGCCAGAGGTGCCATAACACATGCTTTCAGTACGACCCCATTGAGCTGCACCACTGCTGTACTTGTGGTGAATTAGTGTAGTTTCTTTTACAATGATGTAAATTGTGCTTTACCAGCTAGTTCTAATATTTACCTCACAGCTCAGTTGATATTCCACCGATAATCACTTCACCTTCGGCAAATAATTGTTAAATATTGATGAGACTCAAACAAAGAATTTCGTAATGTTGTATCAATGGAATAAAAAGCAGATACCCTAACCCTGCATTATTAACAATAATAATTATTTTTTCACTGTTTTCAGGTCAAGTGCCTAAAGAATAAGTTAGAAAGGCAAGATGCTTACAGGCTAACAGATTTAACAGTAACTRCCATCGACTCATTCCAGGTACTTACACAATCATTTTCAAAATTTAACAAATGTTTTCTTATTTATTCAATGAATCTATAATTTTTTTTGGAATGTAAGAATTTTGGATCGATTATGTAGATAAGATAAAATGTGACGTTTTGGCAATAACATGATAGCCTTCATCAGATTATGATGATGAAAGTGTGCGCGTGAAGGACACAAATCACATGTGAAGAGTCCACATGTTTAATCTGAAATCCTTTATATACAGTATTCAATAATCATGTCAAAAGCCTCAGACATTAACTAGCAGTTTTTTGAGGAGATAAATAATTGATAGGAGAGTAAGTGCTTTGTTTTTTTGGGGCACTCTTTAAAGTTTTGTTGCAAATTACAAATATTAGGTCACCTACCCCCTCAGCTGCCCCTGACCCCTCCCCCTTCCCTTGAAAAGCTTACAAGAGTACATTTGTAAAACTAGAGTAAAATTGAATGGGACAATAAACCTCAATAAAAATGGGAATAATATCTAGTAAAAACAATTTAATTTTCAAATATATTGCAGTATAATTTTTTACTTTAATTTTTATTTGATACATGTTGTYATTTCAAGTACCCTCCTCGATAACTCATCCGTCAGTTATTTCAAGACCACCTGTTTTCAGGCTGACCCCCCCTCCAATAAAAAAAAAAACTATCCCTAAGGCTGATAGATTTAAGATGTCTGTCCTCTTGATAATAGTGCAGGGGTTATTTCATATTTGACATGCTGTTTCTAATGCATTTCAGGGGAAAGAAAACGATATCATCTTGTTATCATTGGTTCGCAGTCAAAAAGGAGCAAATGCCAAAATTGGATACCTCAGTTCCATCAACAGAATATGTGTAGCAGTGTCCAGAGCTCGTACAGGACTCTATCTGTTTGGCAATTCTCATCTTCTGAAAAAGAAATCATCAAGAGGATGGGGGGTAATTCATTGTTTGAAAGCCATTTTACTTAATCCAATCTTTTTAAATTGTTCCTGAGCAGGAAAAACTTGTTTTCACAAATTCCTATAATGTTAGCACAAAGTGATTCTCATCTGTTGCAGCTCATGGCAATGTGAGCAAATTGAATGCACTGTTCCCTCTTGCAAACTCCATCTATAACTCGCCAACCTTTAAAATTTATCGACACCCCTAAACAACTTCTGGGCTGAACAAAATCAAGGCATTGCTAACTCCCTGACAAGCTCACACACTGATTTGAAATCAGTTCCTTAGTTTTGCAGAGGGATAAAGCCAGAAGACCTGAAGAAAACCCTTGAATCAAGGGAGAGTCTAGACTCAACACTAACTCACATGTGATAGAGTCCAGAAATTAAACCTGAGAACCCAGAGCCCAGAGATGGTTATCTTGAGATGGGGCAAATGAAAGTTGTGGAAAAAACAAGGAGTGGAAAGAGGGCCATATATGCCAGCTGAAGCTGTATTTTACACCATTCATCCATCATCCAAACTCCCTCAACAAAAAAAGTTCCATCTATTTATATTTTGATACCCATTAACAAAACTGTTACTACAGATCAATGCATGTGTGACTGAAAGGGGGTGGGGTAGGGATAAGCTAACATCCTGGTTATTTTGAGAGGCCAGGAAGTTGGAGTGTTCTTTGATATAACTTTACAATTATTAAACTCCTTACATGAATTAGAAGATGTAGAAAAATCATTCAACATGTATTTGTTTTAAAATATTTTTGTTTTAAATGGTTTTGTACAGAAAATTATCAGTCATATGTCTGAGAAGGGCCTTATTGGAAGTAAATCAACAATTGAATTCTTGACAGGGGTAAGTTATGTTTTAGATTGGTTATGCATGAATGTTGGTTGCAGTGTAAAATGAGGAGGGGAAAAACATGTCTCAAGAAACAGAGGAAATGTATTCCAAACCTTGATTATTTTACAGTAAGACTGATAACAAACTCTGTCATCCCTGTGCAGAAGTCTATCAGTACCCAAATGGCATTTATGGCCAGGTGCATGTGTAGGAAGAGGTCAGGGGGGGGGGGGGGGGAAGATTTATTTTCTTATTGTGGGAAACCAAAAAGCTATTTGCAAGANGTCTATCAGTACCCAAATGGCATTTATGGCCAGGGGCGTGGGGGGGGGGGGGGGGGGGGGGGGGGGGGGGGGGGCAAGATTTATTGTCTTATTGTGGGAAACCAAAAAGCTATTTGCAAGATATATTTGCTTTGGGGAAATATTATTATTACTAAACTAACCCTTTCACTACTAGAGTGGCCAAAAGTAGCCAGCGGAAAGACATTTTTGCTTTTCAATTACGCATCCCCTAGGACATTTCTGGGAAATTTCATTTTTCAAGCATGTGGGCTATTGTTTTTTAGGATCATTAACCAATCAGATTCTATCAACTGCTTTGATGTGTGTTATAAGGCTTCAATATCTACTGAGCATATGTTTTTTCATTTTGATATTAAGAAATAAAAACACCCTCATTATGTTCCAGGAAGAGCCCCTGTTGGACCCTTTTAGCTTCTAGTAGTCAAAGGGTGAAATGGGAAAGTTTCTTAGTTTCAATTCTTAGAGTGCACCTAACAATTAGTGACCACCTTTATTTAGTACTAAAAAACGTTAAGGTCCCTCTCCTACTCCTAGTAATAATCAGTTTAGTAATTATTGGTCAGGTTGATACTAAAAGAACTGTTTTCTTAGAATAATTATCTTCTTCTTTAATTTATTATTAATTAAATTTAATTCATCAGTTTAATTGCTGTACAAAGGTATTGCATCGCCAGAAAAATGGCTCATTGTGAGTGATTTTAGCATGTGATGGTCAGAATCTCAAACTTTATTTATTAATATTACAGCGTGCAGTTGCAGCTGATGGCCCCTCCTCCCCAGGCCCTGGTGAAACTCAGCCAAGAAAGCAGTCTGGTAATCAAAGTAATTAGTATTAATAGTTATTGATACTGTTTCATAACCACAGCATCAATCTTATAAGAAGGGTCATGTTTCATTAGTTTGGCTTTAAATTATTATAACTAAAAAAATATCATGATTAGTAAAGGAAATCGCACGATCTCGAGTACAATTTGGAAATTAATAGACACGAGTAATGTTTTGAAAGTTCTTGTAATTGCACGAGCCTTTAGGCGAGTACAATTAAAGAACTTTCAAAACATTACGAGTGTCTATTAATTCTAAATCGTATGAGAAGATCGTGCGATTTTTTGTTTATAGTTCACTCAACAAAATTTCAGTAAAAAATGCGAAGCGACGCCATTCATCTTTGTCTATATGGCGGCCGATGTTCAGTCCATCGCGCAACTGAAATGCATAAAAAAGATTAGTTCTTACGGTTTCAAAATTTTATTCATATGTTTTTTAAGAACAAAATGATAGAAAATAATTTTACATTCCAAGTTTTGGCCGTGTTTCCATAGCGACTTAATTCGGTACTCCTACGGAGTACAATTAACGCTATAATTGTACTCCTCTCGACCAATCAGAGTCGAGTAATTTTGTTGAGTGTACTATAATACCATCAATAATTATCATGGTCACCTTCATGATCATTACCATCTTCACCACCACCGACCACCACCATCATCATCATCACCATAATCAGCATCACCATCATGGTCATTATCAGCATCACCACCACCACCATATCATCATAATCAGCATCACCATCATGGTCATTATCAGCATCACCACCACCACCATTATCATCAACATAATCAGCATCACCATCATGGTCATTATCAGCATTACCACCACCACCATTATCATCACCATAATCAGCATCAATATCATGTTCATTATCATCATCACCACCATCATCATTGGCATCTATGTTCACATCATCATTGATCATCTTCACCACTCACAACCATCGCCATCATCATCACCACTCATGGTCACCACCATCATCACCATCATAATCACCAGCATGATGCCATCCTGATCTTCATCCTTTAATTGATATGTCGAGCATCCTAGCAAGTTACAATAACTATAAAGGAGCTGGTTTCCCATTTGGTCTATAAAAAAATCAAATTGCATTGGATTTGTTTTGATTTTTAATTTATAGATATATATATTGATAGAGTAGGTGTGCTCTGCATTGGTGATCAAACCTACGTTGGATGTTGCCCTGATGGTAAGTTAAGATGTTAAGACTTCAGCTATGTTCCCAATAAGAATGAATTGAATTATGGATTTGACAGTCATCAGCTAGTAACATACACAGTTTATCTGTCAAAATTAAGAACCCTTGCTGGAATGCATGGCTGGGGTCATGATGCAATCATCAGTAGGTTTTTAGACCCTCTGCAACAATTCTGAGTCCAGCTCAGTTTGGAGCACACTGCTAACAAAATGTGAATTTCAGTTCTCAGGAGTCTGATTACAATTCTATGCCAAGTGATAATTATTACTTCCAATTGATTTTTCCTACCACAGGGGTGTCAGACAACCATCAAGTTCATAGAAGGCCACAGCAACAGAGCACTCCTTCAAGGCCACCACAAGATGATCAGCACAGCCCAGCAGAGAGGCAACCGGTGGAAGAAACAAGCAAACTTAACACATCATCAGCCACTGCAGGTGGAAATCAGCATCATTCACCATCTGAGAATCAGCACAGCCCAGAGAGGCAACCAGTGGAAGAAACAAGCAAACATAACTCATCATCAGTCAATGCAGGTGGAAATCAGCATCATTCACCATCTGCTGAGAAAAGTGAAGCCCAAGAATCGTCATGGGTTGGAGACTCGCAACCCTCTTCTGTAGAAACAGATGTTAGACCTTATTTGCCCACTGCAGAGGACCGTGAGGGTCAAGAAATGTCATTGTCTGGGGGTCCACAACCCTCTGCTGTAGAAGCAGATGGTAGACCTCTTCAAGAAACAGGAGATATCGAGAAACGCAGGCCAATACAAGACACACACCTTGCTAAAGGCCAAGAAGAGGAAGGGAAAGAAGGTACTAATTGTGCATAGGTGCTAAATTCATTCAAAATTTGGAAATTATCTTAGTAGTAATTATTGCTTATAATTATTGCTTGTCTTATTATTATTAGCAATAAAGTTTTATTTAAAAAATTCTTAGCTAATTTTAAAATACTTTAGTAGATTATTTGAATTCATTGAATGAAGTATGATCGTATTTTATTACTATGTCTATATAATGTATTAATTAAAAATTGTGAAGCATTGTTGAACTCTTGGAATTAATGCTTTGTAAAATATTATTATTATTTATTATATTATATTATATCATTATTTTGTACAGTTTTTAAATAATCATCATGTAACTGTAATAATTTGTATAGGAAATCGCACGATCTCAAGTACAATTTGGAAATTAATGGACAAGTTTTTGTAATTGCACGAGCCTTTAGGCGAGTGCAATTAAAGAACTTTCAAACATTACGAGTGTCTATTAATTCCAAATTGTACGAGAAGACTGTGCCATTTTTTGTTTATAGTTCACTCAACAAAATTTCAGTAAAAAATGCGAAGTGACGCAGCTCATCTTTGTCTATTTGGCAGCCGATTTTCAGTCCATCGCGCAACTGAAATGCATTAAAAATAATAGTTCTTACGGCTTTAAAATTTTATTTATATGTTTTTTAAGTACAAAATAATAGGAAATAATTGTTTTGACATTGTTTTAGCCCTGTTGCCATAGCGACTTAATTCGGTACTCCTATTAACACTATAATTGTACTCCTCTCGACCAATCAGAGTCGAGTAATTTTGCTGAGTGTACTATAAATATAATAATGACATGTCGTTTGGTTCTAACTTTCCAACCTTTGCTTCAAATCTTCCTGAAATCTTATTGTTTTAGTAAGATAAAACTCAAGCCAAAATCCAATTATGTCTCTGTATATTGAAATGCAAATCAATCTTGAAACCCTTGAGGCAACACATATCTTTTCTGTCAACTTGGTTCCAGAGGTGCTTTGTTATTGTTATGAAACTGATCATGAGGTGAGGCCTCTATACTTTCCAAGAGCCATGGTACTCTCCTGTTTGAACTACTACTAACTTCTTTGTACGGGAACTTAATTTCATTCAGAATTGTTGCAACCATCCTCAAACCTGATAAGTGGAAAATAGCCTATCTATTTGCTGTCTTTGAAAACAATGATTTAGGTGCATGAAAAGACTTTTTTGTATCAAAGCCAGTTTTACTCTCCTACTCAAACGATCAAATCACTCAAAAAATTTTAACAAAAACATTTTTCTTTCTCATTTCCAAGAGGATGACAAAGTCCAAGCGGTAGAGGAAACAAGTGATAAGAAGGGAGAGCTTGTAGTTGGGACTCAAAGTGACATGCCCTTTCTGTCAGGCGATGACAAGGCCAGTTGTGAAGATGCAAGTGCAGGCAGCCCTCAACAAGACTCAAATCTCCCATCTTGTGAGAGTTCACTGGGTCAAAAGAGAGGTAACTTATCTTATTAGCAGTGGTGGTGGAGGTTGATGCTTATGATGGAGTATGATGCATGATAATGGTGTTGGTGATGAAAATGATGATGATGGATGATGATGCTGATGATGACGACGATGACAATAATGATGGATGAGGGTGTTCATGATGATAAGGATAATATGCATATTATTAGCAGAATATGTACAAAAGGAGCAATCACCAACAAATAGCTTCCTAAGTATTACAAAATATTTTTGGGTACTTTTGCATTGGTGCATAATACATTGATAGTATGTGTTACATAAGATGTTTTTATTTTTAATGATAATGGCATTGTCATATTGCATCATCATTAGTTTTTTAAGCTTCTTAAAAGAAGGCAAACAAATGTTTATTTAATCATGTATTTTTCTATGATGTCCTGCTTTAGAAATGGAGAGACAGCAGGTTTTTTTAAATTTTATGCTCTTTCAGTCACACAGCATGAACCATTTCCAAGGGTAACGTAATAGTAGGAAAGAGCACAAGCATTTTTACGGCAACTGCGATGTACTAACTTGAATCACGAATAATTTATCGGACTTACGAAATTTTGTTATCAGCTTTTCCTTTTCGTTATTTTTTGTCGTCCTTGGATTTATACTATGAAATATAACTCTAATCAATTAACTTCTTATTAAATGAGTGTTAAAAGAGACTAGGGGCGTCATGGTTTATACTGTGGACATCATGGTTGTACAGACTGGGGGCGTCATGGTATACATTGGGGCATCATGGGTGGGGACGTCATGATAATGGGGTATCATGACCATAAACCTTTCCAAGATATAGAATGTGGTGCATTCTGGTCTGGCCTGGGTACCAAGTTAATGTAATTTGTTCACCATGCTTTATATGGTGTTGTTTGTACCCAGGCTAGACCACAATGCATCCTGTTTATCAAACTTAGAAAAGGTCGATCTATGGAAGTAATGAAAGCACTTCTGAACAATTTTAGGCATTACACTTTACTATCTTTCCAGAACAAAAACTATTTGATGAAAAAGAAGCTTGCGTCTTGAACAAGAGCCTAAAAGAAGCACCAGCCTCAGCAGATCTGATAAAAAAGTTGCAAAATCGACAGAAAAGCAACCCAGAATGCTTAGGGGATATCAACCTAGACAATCCAGAATTGACAATTGGGGAAATCAGGGAGAAAGTGAGTCCTGATGTGCAGGAAATACTTGATCAATATGTGGAGGACCACGGATGTAACTGTGATGAGTGTGGCAGCCTGAGATAGAATTGTACAAAAGGTAGAAGTTCACATAATGGAGTCATCATTAGTGTTGTTCCAGAAAATATCCATTAACCCCCAACACGGAGGAAATTTGTAAAAGGACTCGCATACCCCCAGGAACTTCCAATCTTCTTCCATACAAACTGTCTGTAATTTTGTTATTTCTCTGACCCCCCTCCCCTCCAGAATTTCCAATTCCCTCCATGGGTGGGGATGGATATTTTCTGGAACTACATGATATGATTTTTAATACTGTATTATGATATTAAATAGGAGATTATAAATTTTAGTGGGAAAGGTATTATTATGTTACTGACTTAATTTTAGATTGCCGCCCAGTTGATTGATCACTGGCCTGTTTTTCAGGAGGTCATGGTTTCAAGCCAGACCCATGTAAATAAAATGAAAAATATCTAAGTAAAAATTTGCTGCTTTCGCTCAAAAAAATATTGATATTGTAGATGATATAATTAGAACTTTACTGTGACTTGGATGACCACACAGAACAGCTATCCTGTCTCATTTAGTGAGACATTAAATGTAGAGGGCCACAATTTTTGCAGTGCTTAATTGAGACTGTCAAGTACCACCCTCTCTAAAAAAATTGGCTGAGAATTGTTTGTGCCTGGTAATAATAAATAATGTATTCAATGTTTGTTTTGTTGACCAGAAGTTCTTGAGTCTTATTCACACCCAGAGGACTCAAAAAAAATTGTGAGAAATGTTAGCAGGATGAAACATAAATTGACATCCTCGCTATGTATTAGAATTGGAAATCACATGATCTCAAGTACAATTTGGAATTTATAGGTACAAGTGATCAAGTTTTCAAAATTGGACGAGCCTCTAGGCGAGTTCAAATTGAGAACTTTCGAAACATCATGAGTATCTATAAATTCTGGAATGTACGAGAATATTGTGTGATTTCTCGTTTATAATAATAATCGAGCAATGTAATTGGGACTTTACAGAGTACAATTTGGGATTTAATTGTACTCCTCTTGTCCAACAACAATAGGGTAATTTTGTAGATTGTATTATTAATAATAATTATTATTAGTGCAAACACTAGTCAGAGTGAAGTCATTTTGTAAAAGGGAATTTGTAAAAGGACCCCCCTATTCCAGGAACTTCCAATTTTTTTCCATACAAACTGTGCAATTTCATTCTTACTCTGACCATTAAACCCGTGAAATAGATATTAGACTAATACACATTTAGTAGAGCCTAATTCCATTGTTTACTTTTGTGTCTATTACTATCAATTAACGTTGACTAGTATTTTATTAAAGGTTGATGAAACAAATCTAACAAATGAAGTTAAACCCATCCTACAAATATCTATTTGATAGTTTTTTAATTTCAGGGGTTAAAATGCCTTCACTCTATATCTAAATAAAAATAAATGAAATGAATTGACTTTATTTAACGAGGGTGACATACATTACTGGTAACCCAGTAGTTTCCGTTATGGCCTTCCTACAATTAATAAACTGAAATGAAATGATCAAAGAAACATAAATTGTGTTAAGAATCCCAACTGGCAAGGAGGCAGACCAGTTGGCTATTTACAAGCATGGTCGAGAAACTGAATCTGAACTAATCAGGGATCAGGACAAATACAGTCTCAGCTAGTGGCCACAGTGGGACTCAAACCCGGCACCACCGGATTGCGAGATTGATGCTATGACCACTCGACCATTCTGCCTCCATATGAATTATCTGTGAAACAATTACTATTTAGTGTGTAACAGTAGACTTATAGTTGTCACCTAAATAAGAATTAACTCAGGCATAAACYGAACAAAAATGCATAGAGGTATTTGCTTTTGTTTCCAATTTTCTGCTCCAGTAAAATCTACTATTTTGCACAATAGCTGCACTTAGATATTATATCTTTGGTATTATAACTTGCTATAACAATAACATTGCATCTGATGCTTTTGTAAATTATCCAATTACAACTCAGAATTACAGTATTCTATTAGATAAGATGGCTACAGTACAGTTATCTGATAGTTGTACATTTATTATGGGTTTATTAGTAGCGAACAATGAATGCCTCTATGGCTCTAAAAAACAGGAAATAATTGGATTAAATTATTTTATTTTTTAGCAAATTCAAAATTCCAGATCTTCAATTTTTTAGAACATTTAAATCTTGAAGAGTTTCAGAACAAGAGAAGTTATAAGATGTTCATAGTGCATTCTTACACATCGACATGAAAAATTTGAATGAATTAATAATAATGAACAATTTTGTCATGATTTCCACTAGCATAGCAGTTATTCATTTAAAGTGAAAACTCTCTATATTGTTTTAATGGCAAACACATTTTTTTAAATGCCTGTAGTGAATAGTAATGTAGTTGTTCCTACTGAGATAGGAATGAAAAATATGAATGAATAAATGAATAAAATGGTGCAATATTGTAGTCTGATTCCCACTATTGTGGTTATTCACTTATAGAGAAAACTCTCACATCAAACCAGTGCAAATACGTATACACCAGTTTCACATTCGATGCATATCACTGTTTTTGAAGACCAGACTCATTTGTGAGGGCTGTGTCTCATTTATAAGTCGGCTATTCAACAGATACCTTTAAAAGTTCGTGAGATTTCAAAACATTGGTATTGTTCCACTTTGCACATTCTTTACATTACAGTCGACTTTTGAAAGTGATTTGTTCTTAAAGTGCCACTTGAACAAAAATCTCTCGAAATTTGAAACAAGTGGAAACTTTGGTACAATACTCTGTACTATCCTATAAATCACTAGTAAATTTTTATGATGTTGCCTGTAGAAATGAGTCTTAAGTCTTAAAAGACAGCAGTGTGCTGCATGAGAAAAAGGACAATTTTGATGATCCATTTCACAAGTCATTCCCTTGAAAATGAGATTTATATAAGCCTCACATATAAGTATAGTCTCCTACACAGCTGCTATTAGTGTAGTGAGCGTTGTGTGACAACACTAATAGCAGCTGCGTAGAAGAATAGTATTAGTAATAATGATAAAGGATAATACTCAAAGTAATGACATGGTCTGCTGTTCCGAAGAAAGTAGTGGAAAAATGATAAGTGAACCAACGGGAATACAAATAAGCAGGGGGAAAAATCAAAAGCTTTTTGACATCTCAAAATTTTCTGCATGACAAAAATGGTTATGCATTTATTTGCTCTTTACATCCGAAAACTGAAAAAAGCCGTTTAAGACTGAACACAAGGTTACTGGCCCTCGAATTCCTTAATAATTTAATCATTGATCTTTAACCCATTAGTACAGGAACTCCTGGCTATCATGAGACTTAACATGTTTTCTAAAGTTTCCCAGTGCTGCGAACTCTTTCCCGCACTCATGACAGGAATAAGGTTTCTTGTTTTCATGAAGTATCATGTGCGTCTTGAGTGAGCTGGACTGAGTAAATGCCTTATTACATTCTTGACAGACAAAAGGTTTTTCTCCTGTATGGCTTAACAAATGAGCTCGAAGGTTCCCTGAAGTCCTGAAGGCCTTGCCACAACTCGAAATTATACAAGGAAACGGTCTTTCGTCAGTGTGTATCCTTTCATGAATCTTGAGCGCGTTGGCTTGTTTGAATGCCTTGTGGCAGATAGTGCACTCAAAAGGCTTCTCGTCCGAATGAACTACTGAATGTAGCCTTAACTGTTGAGCTGTTCTGAACTTTTTTCCGCATTCTTCGCAAATTTTCTTCTTTCTGCCGTCATCTGAACAAACATACTTGACRTGGCGTTCATAGTAATCCTTGTAGGAGAATATTTTCAAGCATTTCGAACACTGGAAGCCAGAGTCATTTGACTCTGTTTCGCTCTCGAGGTCGTAGTCATCCATTATATCTAAACAACAGCACAGAAAAAAATATTTCAAAATGTTTTAAAAAGCATTAAGCTCAAAYTAAAAACAAAACCAAATTTCTCGGTATTGGACTAAGTACGTACTGAGCAGTTGGATTTTAAATCTATAACACCGTAAAATAGAAAGTTCTACATTTTCAATTTTTAAATCGCCGAATATGGAAATGTTGTTTACCTTTAAGTTGTTCAATACTTGAAAGCATTTCACTCCAAAGACGCTATTTTCCACAATTTTCAGTCAATTATTAAATCAACTTCCTTTTTTAAACAGCAGAAGGAATTATAAGTATTATGAATAAGTAAAAACGATCATTTCGTTGGTGGAAAGCTGACAAGTTGTTTTCCACTTGATCGCCATGTTGGACGAGTATTCACCGGGGAGAATAAGTACGATATAGGGAGGGGTGGAAAATTTGTGGGGAAGACCAACTGGGTGTCTATAGGACTTTATCCCGGACTTTATATTTGGAACTGTCGTGGTTTAGCGATACATCCAAGTTCCATTAAAGCTCTAAATTTAATTCTGTGATTAATTTATATTTTTCTTTTCGTTTTCGTTAACTTTGAGGACAATACACCAGGGTCGATTTAGGAATCTGGAAATAGTGTTCATACGCAGGAATCGCCCTTGAATGCTCAGAAAATGGWACTGTCAAAAAAATCTTTACTTGAGCAACAGCCCAACAGAACAATGGTTGCCTTGGACCGACATGTGAAGCCTTATAACCATGGTACCCTTGTATTATCCACTATTATATTCTTGGTACGTGGTATATTCCAATAGCCGGCAACATACGAATCCCGAGGGGGGAGTACTCCGCCAGAATTTGGGTAGGGGTGTTCCGCTGGGATTCTGAAAGGGGTACCCTGTTCATGGTAAAAAAAACTCAAATTTGTGGACCCTGTTTATAGTTTATTGCACTGAGTTCCTGTTTCAATCATCATGTCATCTCGCGTATCGTTTTTTTTTGCGACCATAATAACCAGTTTCGGTCAATACGAAAGTACTATCCCTGAATATGACAGGAATACCAGGCCGAACCATGATTATATGGCTTCAGCTTTCGATACTCAATAACCAAGATAACGAAATGTTCATCGTAACTCAATTGAAAAAAACTAATTTTAACGATAGAAAACCTTTGACAGCAAGAAAATCAGACTATCCAACCCCAAATGAAGTAGCCAATTGAGTACGGTTTTTGCTTTCATTCGGGACTCTCTAAATTGATAGGTTTTTGTAAGATATCTTTAATAGAAAGATTCGAAGAATCTCTACTTGCGAATCAAGATATCTAACTAAATGATAATAACTAAGTTAATAAAAATAAATAAAAACGCTAGAAAACATGGAACGCCTGGTCAACATCATGGATTTTACAAGGGACAAAAAAGTACCAATAAAACATACAAATCATTTAACTTGTTTTAGTAGTGAAAATGGGGTGTTACCTATTGATAGGGGATCGAGGAACGCCTGATCAAAATCATG